CAAAAATTTACTATTAAGCTTATTTGCGATATGTGCTCTGGTTTCTGGCGCTACAGCGAGTTTAAACGAAATCATTGAGTCGTACAAGTCATAAACGGTCCCAACAACCACTGCTGACATACTGTCCCATACATATGTATTTACATATAAAGTTCAAAACGTAAGCGTATTTAGTGTAACATACAATTTTTTATATACATATGTGAACCAACTACTTAAGGCATCAATCTTAAATGAAAATTTTTAATTCGCCTTATCGTTAGCCCGTAAACAAATTCGGCCGAATTCTTTTCATCTGTCCGTAGTCAATGAATGGAAAGGAAAAGTGGGCCGGTTCGGGGAATATGAAACTCATGATAAGGCCGCATATTTATTTATATGTACTTACAATTAAATATTGTTTAGTATTTGTGATGTCCTAGGTCCTATGGCAATGTAGTACTTACGCATCTCTCACTACTCGCCAAACTAGCTTAAATTGTTTAGTTATTTGCACAATAGAAAATAACTGGCTGTTTTGGCCACGGTGGTCATCGAAAACTTTGAGGATTAGTGGAAGGACTTATTTCGGATCAACTGCAGTTAATTCCCGATATAATTCCGAATGAACGATTTAAGCTGGGTCAACGCTGCCGTCTGCCTATACTTTAAGCTAAAATAGCTGTATTATTGATTAAACGTGTAAAAATGCAATATACACCATATATACCAGCCGTACTTCGTTCGGAAGTGCAGTACTTATTTTTTAGATCTTGTACTTTGTACTTCGCAGTACAGTCAAACGTACTTTTTTCCAATATTTTGTACTTCAGGTCCTGGACTTCTCCGATCTTCTCGACGAACAGTACATGGCCTGGGCGATAAATTCGTTCAAACCTTCCAATTCGCCGAGGACCGATGGCATCATACCTGCACAGCTGTAAAGGGCTTTGGAGGTGTCATGCAATTAGTTGGCTCCCATTTTTATGCGAACTGCGTGAGGACCGGCTACATCCCCAAGGCTTGGAGAGTAGTCAGTGCTGCGTTCATTCCGAAGGCCAGAAAAGGCTCTAATGATTCCCCTAGAGATATTAGGCATATCAGACCTTCTTCGTTTTTGCTTCCTCGATATCGAAGGGGCCTTCAACAATGTCACTCCAGAGGCAATAGTCAAGTCTATTCATAATCTGAGGGTTAAAACCAACCTACCAACCTAATAAGGCTTATCTACAGCTTAATTCGTGACAGAACTGTCGCGGCGGAGTGGTGAGCGCCTGCACTCAGCACAGAGTCAATAGGGGAATCCGAAAGGTGGTGTTCTCTCTCCCCTGCTCTGGATTGCGGTTGTAAACGATCTGCTAGTGGAACTGGAAAAAGTGCTGCGGAGTGATCGCCTATGTAGGTAATGCGGAACTTTTGATTAAGGGTCGATTTCTAGATACCCTTTTTGGTCTGACTCAAGGTTACGTGAACCAGGTAACTAGGTGGGCGATCATCGGCGGCCTTGCAATACGGAACTGGTCTTGTTTACCAGGAATTACAAGATACACGTTGTGATCCTTCTCTCGAATGGGGGGTGTTCGTCTGCGGACCTCAGACATGGTCAAGTACTTAGGCTTAATCCTGGGTAGGAAGCTGTCGTGGAAGCCTAACATTGAGGAAAGGGTAAGAAAGGCACCGCTTGCCTTGTACTGCTGTAGGGGAGCTATCGGTAAAAGGTGAATTCTCTCGCCCAAAGTAGTTTATTAGCTCTTATTTCACGGAAAGAGAAGGCTAAACTTGTAAAACAACTGCAGCGAAATAATTCCCAGAAGCTTCTTGTCTACCTTTAAGCCATCAAGAGAGTACTATGTAGTGCGGGGTTACTCTAAGAAGGAAGTGGCAAACTTTTTAACGGACGTATCAAAACTTGGAGACAGGGTTGGTAGAGGTTTCTCCTGTCGGTAACTCTCATGGAAAACTATATTCAGACTTCTGGACTTCTGCAGTGTCTTTTAGGTAGGCTGACATCACGGAAGCGGTAGGCTCACTGCTAAAGGGGGTGATGGTGCGCTCGAAATCGGTAAAGGAATGTCTGATCTGTCTATCAATCGCGTCGAAATAATACTTAATACGGCTAGCTTAGGTGCCGGGTCACAGTGACTTCTCGAGAAACTGTGTGGCTGATGACCTAGCGTTGGTATGGCAGCCTTAAAACGTTATCCCCAGATAAGGAGCAACTAAGTACACGTATGCCCTCCTGCGGTACACTTTTGGATAGTTAGGCCTGGGGTTAACTCGGCAAGCGCTAGACTAACACGCATTCTTTGTACTCGCGATAATGAAATTGCATACTCTACTAAATATCGAAATTTGGTAATCGGCTCGCGGCGTTTCGCCGACTAAGTTATAGTTCTCCTTTCAATTTTTTTTTCGTGGTATCACAAATGACAATCTCTTAATTGTCCAAGTGTGTTCCTTGCCTGCGGCAACCACTTTAAATTAACCCAACCTAGCCTGTACTGCTTTGAGCTATGAAATACTTAGTTGGTCACATTATGCGGCATAACTGATTTAATGACTTGAACCCCTACTGTACATATGCCTTACATAGCTCTTTAGCTCCATATGTGTGTATGGGAAAATGTAATGTAAAATAATCGAAAAACTAATTAGTAAAACAGCTGTTTTCACATTCGAAAATTCATTTTTCCCCCATGGCGATGTCTTACGAAAAGTGGGGCATTCAATTTTGCATTACCTAGTATCGAGGAATGAATGTGACTTTATATGATTTTGTTTTTTAATTTTTAAATACATTAGATGGCTGATTACATATTAAACAGTTAATAGAATCTTGCAACTCATAGGAAATGTATTACATTATTTAACACGCATGTAATGCATTACTACTTTTCCCACTGGGTTAATAATGCATACATACACGTCTCACAACATAAGTACATCTGTTTCTTATCAACCATTGACCAATCGATCGATTTATTTTTAATGGACTCAGGTGATTTAACGATTACTTGATTGACAAGGTTAAATGAGTGAATAGCTCAGCTCAAAGCTAAATATTCTCATCTGCATATTTACATGCACTTACATGCATATACATATACATATGTATATTAGACTTCATCACTCCCCATACAAAAAAAAATAATCGGTCCTGTTTTTCCATTGGAATTATAAAATTTATTCTATTTTAAGACGTCCACCAAAATATTTCGGAAAAGTATTAAGATTTACGTGACCTGATGCTGGAGCGATTGGAAAATACCTCCAAAAATTATCATTGGAAAGGTATTTTCTGACTATTTTTATTTCTTTGCTAATAAGCTCATTCAAAGGAAGGAGAAAGGTTGGATGACCGAATATCATTCAAAGTTGAACTAAGATGTTTTGGTATTTGGAAAAAAATTGGGGGACACGAATGACTTTTTTTTGCACATAAATAAAAATAGTGGGAAAATACCTTTCCTCCGAGATCCCCTAAGTCTAAATCAGAATAGTTTGGCCCAGTTATTTAAGTTTTTCGAAAATCAATCTTTGAAAAAATTAAAAAAATTACATCAAAAATCTCATTATTACGATTCCGTTGAAAAGATTTTTAAATCTTTTTATGCAGATTTTTTAAGCCTAATCTGTTTTGTCATTTGAGAGGACTTTTTTCAAAAAGTTCTTTAAGAAACTATTTTTATTCATAAAAAAAATCCATTTTTTGGAGGTATTTTCAAATCGGTCCAGCTCGCTTAAATCTTAATATTTTTCTGAAATATTTTGGTGCACGTCTTAAAATTTAATAAGTTTTGTAATCCCTGCGGAAAAAACCGCTACTTTTTTTGGTGATGCACTCTAATGTACATACATATTTATTGAGTATGCCCAGCTCGCAAGTCGATTTTTGAAGTCTATAGCATACATACGCATACAAACGGTTTTAAATACATATCGCACACCGTCTTTAAAATAGCCATAACTCAAAATTTAGCAATTTCGAAATTATGCGCTCAAAATATACACAGAGCTTTTATTTACCTTTGAGAAAAAGCTGGAGCAAATTTTTGTTATAATTAAAAAAAAAAACTAAGGTAAATTCTTCCTTGCCCATATGAATATCACGTGCTAAGAAATAGTTTTTCGCATTTTGTGACAAACGTGCAATTTTGAGTTGTGCCTATGACTATACGTATGTATGTATATAAATACATGCCAAAAAGATGCGAAATAATCTAGCACACACATATTTAAAATAGAAACATTTTGTTTGGTGATTAACAGACAGCGGATTTTTTGCAAAAAAAAACAACAAGCCTAAAAATATATACCATACATATTTAATTCAATTATATAAATATATATATATATATATAATGAAACCTTGTTATAATATGCAATACTTAAATTTTTGTAATAATATCTCCTTTTCAGACTTAAATATCACAGTGTCAGCAAAGAAATGAAAGTGTCTGCACTGAGTTTTTCAGAAACCGCCGAAAAAGTCTTTGAAAATGGTCCGAAACGTTTGCGTTCCTGGTCGAACTTTGCTAGGTCAGTTTTGTTTAATATTTTCCGTTTTTGTTTGGATTTTTTTTTGCGTTTATATAGCTTGAAGCAAGTAATTTCATTCCTTTATGTTCGGGTTCGAATACCGTCAGAAGCAACATGTAATTTTTAATTTTTGTCTTGGTTTTTATTAATTTCGAAAAAGCATTTGAGAAGTGAAGAACAAAAGCGTGTACAAACGAAAAAATATAACAACAATGCCATTGTTAATATGTTGGAGTAGTTTTGTGCTACTCTGATGTAATGCAGGGATGGAGTATATGGTCCTGCCCTAGGACATCGCAATGTTAATTGGACCATATTTTTTATATGAATTGTGGTTAATTTTGGAGTACTCTTTGGTCCTTAGGGAGTACTCTTTACACGCATGCATGGAGTAGTCGCGATTTTTGCAGGGAATAGCCAGAGCGAAGTTGGGCTATTGTAGTGCGGGTCTCCCGAGGCAGACTAAGTTCTGTCCCGTGCTTTATATTGCCTTTACTTACTTACCTTTTATTTATATAACCTATTTGGCAAGCTTGGTAAGAAAAACCCTAATATGGACTTATTCAAACCAAGCATATGACCCGTTAAATAAGTTGTTTAATTTTTACGGGATTTGGTAAATTTTTTGATCGATTTTGGTAAATTTTATTTTCGACCGCGGCAACACTGGTTGTTGTGGGTCGGCGATTTACAGCTGTTCTGATTAGTATTTATCGTTAATTTTCAATTTGGGATAAAACACCTGACTTGTGATAGCCAATTGGCATATTTATTTAGTGTTATAAAGAGTAAAATTTGTTATCAGCTGCCGTGGCGCATAAACATTGCGCTTGCACGTCAACTCGTCTATCTCACGCATTCATTGAAATATATGTACCTGCATAGGAAAAAAGTTGGGAAGAGTAGTTCCATCAACTTGTGATAGCTGTGTCGGATTGAGTTGTGATAACGTTCAGCGTTATAACGTGCAAAAATTTCGTATAAGAACGTAAGTCAAACCCGACGACCCTTACACCAAAAGCTCTATAGACCTATGGACGTCACCGCTGCCTCTGGTTCAGGCTTGTAAAGTCGGAGGATGACGGTGACTCATGGCGACACCCACGGATGTTGAGACCTACTGCTACAACAACAACGTAAGTCAAATTACTTTTTAATGTTAATATGCATCAAACTATTAATATAACAATTGCTTTGCACATACTAAATATAAAATAAACCGGGATGTGCTTAGATATATGTATATGCCGAGCCAGCTGAGAAACGTAAATTTTGCCGAAAGTAGTCTAGCGCAATTTCCGTATCCGGAAACGAATAGAAAACGACCACAATTTTCATTCATTTACGTATCGAAGAACGTCCACAAAACAACGGTGGTTTTCGTACCCGGAATCGAAAAAACGACCACAGTTGTCATTCAATTTCGTATCCGGAAAACGTTTGAAACGTTCGAAAAGGATGATGTTATTTGAAAGCAATAGTCGCGTTCCCTAACTCGCAAGAAGTTGCAAGAATTTACAGGAATTTACCAGAAAGCGTTCCCGTACTCGGTTCTCTGGCTTCATTTGCTTTTTGACAGTTTTACAGGGTTTAACCGAGAAAAGTTGGGGAATGCAACTAATAGTTGCGTTCCAGATGCTTCACGAGTTGCAGGTTTCACAGGATTTCCAGGAAAAGCTGTTTTCTCCATTAATAAACCTTATGGAAGGTGGTCACCTGGAACAGCTTCCGGTAAAAACCTGCAAAGCATCTGGAACGCAACTAATAATTGTATTTTATTTGTTCAAACTAAACATTTGAAAGTATGCAAGCGTAATCGGAAGTGGCTGGCCGTGCATAGGAGCGTGCCGCTGTTTGTTAGCTTCCAGAAGGTGCCAGCTTCGATTTCCATCAGCCGCGCTTCCTTAATTTTACTTTTTTCTTTTAACCATGAAAAAGTATCTGTAAAGTGCAGAAGGAAAGCGTATTTAACGAAAATTTCAATCACGACAAAATTCAGTTAAAAAAGACAAAAAAGTATCCGTTTCACAAACAATTTTCGATACTTGTACATGAGTTTTTGCCGCATTGCTAAGTGGGAAAACGGATCGTCAAAGTATCCGAAAATAAAATCGGTAAACGGACAAAAATCCGCACTTCATGCACTTTTTTCCTTTTTCGGGTCGATTTTCCGATTTTTCGTTTGATGACGAATCCAGCAGGGCAGTTTTTATATATCGGGCTTTTTATAGTTTACCATTACCTGCAAAGAAGATTTATGTTTTAGTCAAAATTCATTTCATAAGAGCAATTAGGTTAGCCTGCATCAATCCCCATGTTGCTCTTTAATAAAAACACATTTATATGCCATGCTTGCCAATAATTTATTAGTTCTGTGCAAGTCAACTGTACTCTACATACGTATTTACACTACTATAAAATATATTAACTATTCTTATTTTGCAATATATATATATATTTATTTTGTTTCTTGTCAAACATGTTCAGAATCAAACCATTTTAGTTGAAGTTAAAATGCGTCATTTCGAATACACCTTTTTAAATTAGGTTTCTGCATTATATTGAAGGGATTGATTGGAATAAGATATAATGAACGGCTGCCTTAAAAGTAGCTAAAAGTACATACATTAAGTTTCTAATCATATTTTTACATACTATGTAGCACCTCTAACCTGATGAGCGTATGCTTTTATGAATATTGAGTTGGAATGAAGAAAAAATATTGAAAGAAGAAACTTGCTTCCATTATAATTTTATGCACTATACAAATTATGGCTGCCGGAAGAGATAATATGCATGTAAAAAATATAGCCCCAAGCCAGCTCCAAAGTTTAAATCCATCCACTCAATGCTTGTTCCAACAACAAATTGTTAACGTAATATTTCTACTTAGGTGTTTCATGTACACTATTACGCTTATATGTATTGAAAAGGCGACCTATAGGGAACTGGTTTCCTTAACGGGTCGCATATTTCCCGCCACCATGAAAGTGACGCATTACGCGTTTTGCTTTAATCCAGCTCGCTTATCAACTTTTAATTGAAAACAACTGTGCCAATTTAACAGCATGATTCTTTAGATACTCATAACCAGCTATGCTCGCCGTTTTAAGGGCTTCAGTTTTATTTACTGTTGCCTGTTGTATTTGGTTACTTCCTGCTGTAGACGCCTTTTCAACAACACCTTCTGTAGAAGTCGTACTGGTTGCATTAGTCGTAGCAGCATGTTTAGGAAACATATTTCGTAGTACATAATTAAAGCCGCTCGCCGCTTTGTTGCAATTCGATTTAAAGCGTTCAACGCCGAAGACTCTTATGGCACGTGAGAAGCCAAACACTTGCGAACTTATGTACGCACGCCTCACAGCTAAAGTGCGTCCATCTTTTTGTTCACTATATTCAACGATTTCATCGACTTTCTGTAAATAGAAATAACAATATAAGTTAGATTGGTTATTTAATAATGCAATTAGTGCGCTAGTGCTAGAAAAAGCAAAAAGTCGTACATGTGTGAGTACGTTACCAAATAATGTTACTTTGTTTTCTTATGCCCAATATTCTAAAAATAAAGTGTCTCAATAAAAAATTTCCTACCAAACCTTATGTTATGGCTAATTTTTCATTTACATATTTATACATATAACATTTCAGTGTTAAATGCAATACACATCTCTAGTGGGCTTCCGTGTAGTTTTTCTATTCAGTTCTAAAGAAGCCTATTGTACGCCAATTGAGCAATTCATCATTCATAAAAAAATCTATTCTCGAAAAAAATATTTGTTGATGCAGAAGTATGGAAAATTCAAAGTGAGTGCATTCATTGGCTTTAAAATAAACAACGTTTTTCACAATTCACAAATCAATAGCAAAGAACACAGGTCAAGAAAAAAGCTATAAATTCGTATTAAAATTTAGTCGGAATATGTATGCCCATACATATATATATATATTTATATACACGCCTCAAAGCTAAGGTATTAGTAAAACGTAAAAACTCGTTTTAAATAAACAACATGATAGCCGAGCTGTGAACCCGAGGCAAAAATAAAAAGAAACACCTAATTGCTCTGTTGTTGATAAACACAACCTCCACTTCCATTGACAGCTTGTACACTCCCGCACCCAACGAAAAATCTGCACACGTTCATTGCACTCACCATTATTTTCTTGAATCCAATATTTCGGGTAAATGTGACCAGTGTTTTCTTTTTTGGATCCAATACAGAATCTTCCACTATTCGCACGGGCGCGTTATTGTAAAATCGTTGTCCCCATTTTGGCACTGGATTGGTTTTGGAAAACAGGCGGCGTGAATACAGTTTGCCATCCCGCACTTCTCTTTTAATAGTATCTTCCGTCAAAACGTGTGTACTGCGAAATAAAATTATTGGAAATAATTTTATATATTACTTTAGTTATTTATGTATATGATGTTCCGCTCACCTCGACGGGTTGGGATAGCGATTCCAGTACGCTTGTACAACCTGTTTCCAACTGTAATCAAAAACAGTTTCGGTTGTACACTGCGATTCGGTGACCATTTCTGCGCTTTTTGGTACTTCAGAAAAATTAAATATTTTTTACGCTTGTAAATGGCAGCACTAAAGTTGATTACCTTGGCTATCACAGTTTCAAGATTATTTTATCAGCGTTTTAGTTTTTGTTGATTTTTCTTATTGCGGTGTTAATGGACATACATACATATGTACATACATAAATACATATGTACATAAATATGTAGGTGAAGGTTTTATAATTGATTTTTAATATCTCGACACAAAGTGAGGACCAGATAAATGCAATATTTTAGTACAAAAACTCAGCGTGTTGCTTTTGCCAAAAAACCACTGTGGCATCCAAATCGAAAGTAAAAGTGGATTATGTATTTCGTAGTGATCTGCAGCCGGCAAAAAAGTGAATGTGTGTTACGCACGCTTTTATTGTTTTCACGCCCACCCTGAGCTAAAAACAAATTCCCAAGCTCCGGCCTTTTTTGTTTTCTAAAGAATTGTTAAAAATAGTCAGCGCGCTGCACTGCAAGTAGATAAGAAAAATAGAGAAATCAAAATCAATTGAATAATCAATTAGAAACATAACAGATGTTTCTTTGTTGTTACCCGTGTTACCCACCATGTGCACCAACTCTAACAGCCGAATTGCCAATCACGCGATGCACTCAATGTACTATGGAAGCAGTGCTTCGGTCGATTAGACCAACAAAGTTGCAAAACGTAAAAGTAACTCTTACACAATATTGCTCCACTATACCACAGACATTTTAGATTTTTTTTCTTGGTCAAACAATTCTCAAAAGCGTTGATTTTTGCCAATTATGAGCGATTTTCAAACATAAGTTTGTGTTTATTTTTTAACATTTCCTCATTCCTATATCCTTTGTCTGCACACTCATTGGTCTCTATATTCTTTGTTATCCTTTATATCTCGCTCATTACACAGCGCTACTGCTGATTCTGTTCCTTTTTCCAATCAGAATGCAAACGTGCAACAACTCACATCGGCCATAATTCGCGAACCAACTGAAAGAACAAATTTTACAGCACCATGTAGAATAGTGTGAAAATTTTTATTTGCGCTCAATGCGATATGTGTAAAGACAGCAGTGAGAATGCGACAACTATATGTGCGGACTTGAAATTTTTAGGCTCTTTCCCAGGGACATCTATAGGCTAGTAGCTGGCATTTGCTTGCTAATGTTACCACACTTCAAAAAACAAAAGTGTTGCATATAATAATTCAGTAGTGGTATTTACCCAATCCATCATTAAAAGCGGAGCACTTACTACTTCATCACTCCGCTTTTTACCGCCTTTTTAAGGCTTTTTTGAGGGTAGGTTTGTATGGGTGGTATGCTTTGAAATAAACCGATTACGCCCAATTTTTGAGGGTTCACACATAACTTTATTAAAAATATATGGAAGCGATTTCGGAGTGATATATTCATTGCTGTGCTTTTTAGGGCATTTTAAGGCATTTTTGAGGTCAGGTTTGTATTTGAGGTACGCTTTAAAATAAATCGATTACGTCCATTTTTTTCAATTCATATACATACAACGTTATTATAAACATATAGACAATATTTCAAACTTATATATTCGTCGGTCCACTTTTTATAATGCATATGGAAATAATGCATATGGCAAAAACCGAAATAAAGCATACATGCACAGTTTCGGTTGAAACCGAAATAATGTCTAAATGCACAGTTTCCATATGCGCAATTTCGGTTTAACTGCGGTTAAACATCGTTGTCGACGTCTTCGACTCCATGCATATAACAGGGAGTCCGTAACGTCGATAACCATGTTTAACCGAAGATTATTGTTAACCAGACATTGAGTAACCGGCCCTTAATTCCGGTTTCTGTAGGGATTAAAGCCGTCATCGATTCGCCACTTCTCTGCTAGGCATGTTTGAGTTGCGGTCCCTTAATGAAAAATTTTGCATGTGAAAGCAACTACGAAGCTAGCTAGCAAGGATGGATTGGTTGTACCTCATTGAGTTCGTTCGTTTCGCCACTCGCTCGCCACTGTTGGCAAATCGATGACGGCTTAATTTTCCAAAATTTTTGTAACTTATACGCCGTGGTGGAAGTTATATATTTTCAAAATAATAATTTTATATTATATTTATATAAATAATTATGTAAGCGCTTCTGTGTGTATATATTTAAATAAGAAAAGCATTGAAAATGCATATTTTAAATTGTTGCGTTCTGATGTGTTTGTGTAATACAATACTATTTGCTATGAGAATCACACAGATGCTTCCGCAAACACCGACCGTTAGTCCAGCACATGCATGTATATGTACATACTAGGGATGTTAATTTTTTCGCTTTTTACGATCGCGGGATTTTCGTGATGTCGTTATCACAATCCCGGGATTCCAGGACTAGTCCCGGGATTTAGATATTCATTACTTTTTAACACCTTAAATCGAAGAAATTGCTTCTATGTATATTGTTTGAGAAGCTCTCCTACCATAAAATGAATAAATAAATAAATGGGTTTGAAACCTACTTTTTTATTTAAAGTGGCGTTTTTAGTTTTTCTCTCTGACGTCAGGATTAATTTTAAAGGACTTTGTAATTTCAAAGATATGATTAATTCCAAAAATTATTTAAAAAATTCAATGCAATGTAGAATAAAAATATGGATACCAAATGAAAGAGGAAACTTCTTTAGAATAAAAAAAATATAAGTTTTTGGGATTCACAAGGACGTATAGGTAATTTTTTAAGCTGATAAAGTTAGAAGGATGAAATTCGAGGTCCTTAACATATAATTTTTTCAAAAACAAATATTGTGAAATTTTAAGGATAAAATTTTAATTGAATTGAATTGAATACTTACCAGTCCTTCTGCAATAAAACATTGAATCTGTTCCTCTTTAATTTGATACCCATCCTTCTTCTCTAAGCACACTTTCACTGAATTTTTTTAAATCATTTTTGAATTTCTGACGTCAGAGTGAAAAACTAAAAACGCAATTTTACTATATTTGGCCTATGGTTTCGCGAATATATTGATTTTTGTGTATAAAATTTACTATCGCATGGTGTTATTTATATAATGAGCTGGACAATTATTAAAAAATACTAATTATTAAATAAAAATAAATAAATACTGGTCAAGATAAGGAATTTCTATTATTGCCATCAGTGTAAATTACAAATCTCAAAAATCCCGGGATTATTTGCCAAGAAGCCTGTGATTTTCGGGACCTAAAAAAAGCCGGGATCCCGGGATTAAAATTTCCTAGTACATACATATATGCAAAGCCTTTGCATGGATTCGTGTACATATTTGTTATTTAATCATAGTTCCATCTACTAAGCAAACGTTATTCGCCTTCCATCAAAGACTTTCCAACGTGACTTTTTTCTTCATTATTTATATGCACAAACACACTCGATATCTAGGTAAAAAATAAAAGCATAAGAAAAAGGCGCCAAATGGCAGCTAAACGCCGTAATCTCTCCTCCACATATTAAATATGTGGGTACTGGCATAGGGTGGGTGCCAACCATGCTTGCAGGTGGTCAACCGGCAAACACGAAATCCATACATAAGCGATCATTCGACGCGACTGCACGCAAACGTACTGCAGCTATGCTTTTTTTACTTTTCTTCTAGTGCATAAGTATTAGAAGGAAGGCTTATTATAATCTAAATATTTTTGTTTTGTGCCACATATTCTTTGCGTTTGAGTGTCCACTAACCACTTTGTCGTGTGTTATTTTGTATTCATTTTTCATTGCCGTTTCTTCACTGTCGACCTAATTGGAAAATTACGATTTCCCTTGCATTCAGTCGATGAGTGGCGTTTTCCACGCTTTGTTTACGAAATTTTTTCCTCTGGTCGCTGGTGGTTGGTGACAGTTCTTGATTTTCATTAACAACTATAAAGTGCGCTGTTGTTATTTTACATACTATGTATGTACATGGTGCAGGCGTATTCATAATTGTGGGTTACTAAACAGTAGTTGCTTATTAATAAAAAATATTTATATTTGTAAATTAAGGTATGTATGTGCTTGTATTTGCATATGGTTGTAATGAGAAAAACAATGTCTGCTGAGCTGAAGCTATTTATATAAAAGTGTGACAATAAAATATGAGATGAGGCAATGAGTAATGAAAACTAATAGAACTTTAAAAGGGGCATTTAAAACATAAATTTATTTTGCAGTTTTTTTGCAAACGAACTTCAGTGCAGCATTTTTAATTGCAAATTATTTTTGATTTAGTAATTTATGTATTTACTTTTGATGTTTTGATAAATATCTGAAGTGCGTTTCTGTGTCAGTAGTAGTTTTGATATGTAATTTAGCCGCTAACTCGATCGAGAATTTAATCGATTTCTTACAGAATTGGATTGCTGATAGTTTCACTAAAAAATATAGGTTGTAATTTAATAATCAGTATAAAACAATATTAGGGTGGCTCTCATTTGTCCAGTTTGATTTTTGAGACTAGTAACTAAGCTTCGTACACGACTTGAGCTCAATGGTGTAAGAATCAAAGTAGCCTCCTATTTTTGCTATTTTAAACTCTAATCATGGTGATTATTAATTTCATAAATCCATTACTTCGGCCCAGTTCAATGTCATATATACAGTGGTTCATACAAGTGTTCACATGCTTATTTTTTTTTAATTCACAATTTATTCAAACTAAAATTGTTTAAATTATTTTTTTATAAATACATACATATGGGCGAATCCAGCGAAAAGTCTACCGCGTAAAAAAATTAAAAGTCCTATAGCTAACTTATTTATAGGCCGATTTGGCTGCTTTTTATAATATATATTGGTTATGTAAGCAGGAAAATGTTTGCTAAAAATGGTGTCGTTAGTTGGCGCCAGGGTCGAGATATTTTAAAAACCCGTATTTCTGTCGCTGGTGGCGCAATGTCAAAATAAAAAGTATGTTCGACATAAAATGCATGTTTTCTTCCCGTTAAAAATTCTTTCAAGAACAATATTAACAAGACGTGACGCCAGGTAACGTCAAGTCAGATAATTCAGCTGATTAAACATAGGTACAGCAGAAAGATTTTTACATTTCAAAACTTGGAAAATTAACCTTAAAAATTTCCAATATTACTACAAAAGCTTTTTTACAAATTTGCAGAGTTTTACATTTTTGTAATCGAAGTCAATATCGAGTACCAACAGTTGTAAATTTTTTACTGAATAAGGGGCCATTTAATTGCTTTGCAAATCTAGAAAAACCTTTTTAAAATTTTGACTTTTTCAGTTTTTTTTTACATTTTTTCATACGAGCGTCGCGTGACGCCAGTTTGGAAATACCCATAAAATTTGGAAAAAATCAAGAAATTTTCATCAAAATTCCTGAAATTCTGAATCGAACGATCGCAAAAAAAAATCAAAAAATCAACGTCAGTTTTTTTATAAATTGCACTTATGCGAAAAAACCGCCACATGGAACTTGCTTTTTGAAGTGCTATAAAACTGCATACTCTAAAGTTTTCTAAAAATTCAAATTAAAGTGTTCGAAATTGATTGATTTGTATACATCTTGTTAATAGTTATGTGGTACATATTTTTAGGCTCTGTTGTCTGCATAAAACTCCGCAGTCTAATAATAAATCTATAAGAATATACTATCAGAAACTGTGGAAATCAAATTAAAACAATTTTGACCACCCTATTACATGTATTTACATTTGCAATCCATCGAAGACTTTAAAGTGCCCATTTAACCTCACATATTTTGTGCTTTCGTCTACATGTTCGTTGAACTTTAATATTTCTTCAAGGTCACAACATTGATGTGATTGGAAGGTTGTCAATACAATCCAATGTTAAATCCGGTAAGCTCTTTTAGTGTTTGTGCTTCTTCATGTAAATTCCCGTCGAAAGAGAAGTGCGTTCAATACTAGGAAAGGGATTTAAAATCAAAGGCGAAAATGTCAACTTGGACGCGAAAGTAGCAAAGCTTTTTCGGATCAGTCAGCTGTAACGGCTTAAGACCGATCGATGTCGCGTTAAGTAAAAGCGTAATTATCTACTAGGTTAT